TTGATATTGATCGTTATTTGATTTTATTTATACAGATACGAATATATCGACATCGATCGAGATAATGGCAATGCTATCTTTAATAGTTTGTATCGATGACAATACCGGCAGCTAAATCGATAGTGGTATAAACTGATATTACTATAGATAAATGCATTCATCAATAAAACAATAAATATATCGATAACGAAATTTAAGAAATTTTACAAAACATATATGTAAGAAAATCGATAACAATCTCGATACTGTTATCGGAAAAACTATCGGTAATATTGAAACAAATATTTTGATGTTGATGGAGATTTTGGTAGATAGATACACTTACTAAATAGAAATAAACTAGTGAACCCGCATGGTGTTAAAACACTCCAAACTTAATTTCAAAACTTAAAAAATATTCCAAATGTTAGGCAGAGCTATAAGAGATCCGAGTGCCAGTGAATAGCAGTCTGGCATAGTACATGTTTGTAGTTTCATGAAATTTCAGATCACCCTATAACGATGAAAAAGTCCTTAATTAAAAAATAAAACTTTACCACACATCTGCAGGGTAAGGTCTTTAATTTATCTCCTCTTCTCTCATTTTTGAAATTCCCTTTCAAACGTATTCCCAAACTAAATTCTTCTTAAATCTCCTTCGTGTGATACACAAGTATTTCAATAAACTGAACAACTAATTTGAATTTGATTGATCGAACAAATGACAACCCTCCTAAATAAATGAATAATTTGAGCACGTGACAACCATCTTCAAACATTCCGAATACGCAGTGGCGGATTTAAATATTTGCCGCCCCTAGGCAATTCATAACTTGCCGCCCTTTTTTCACGAAAAAAAAATATATATATATATCAAATATGATTGTTATTGTCAGTGCTTTATTACAATATAGTTCGTTAATAATGAAATACATAACGGAATTAACAAATTCGACATCAGCATGGATAAGGTATTCAACAAAAACCCTCTTTCAAACACTTCTTTTTCACAGTTCTTTACGTCTTGATTTTTCAGCTGCGAATTCGCGGATAATATCTTCACAATCGATAGATAGAAACAAATCTGACTCTATAGTCAGCAACGCAAGAGCATTCAGTTTGTTTTCGCTCAATGAAGATCTGAGATAGTTTTTCACGCGTTTTAAAACTGCACTGAAATGCTTTAGAGGTTTGGACAAGTAGAATCCAATTATCAGGACATTGAAGTAGCGCTATGCCAGTATACAAAATAAAATCGCTCATCCGGAAGATTTTTTGACCTCGCGCAAGACAAACAGAAGACCATACACAGATACACTGCCTAATTTGACATACGACGGAAGCTGACCTTCAGATTATTCACGTTATGATACACTTATGAAAAACTGGTGGGCTTGGAATCAAGAATTTTCTCGAAAATGCACGCTCGTTTTTCGGCAGTGTTGTCAAGTGTGGTAACCTTTTAGATGATTCTCGTTCTCGGGGCAGCGTGTCGGCTGTTTCTTTGCGTCACGCGCAGGCGCGCCGTCAGGTTTCTAAGCCGCGTGAATGAAAGTTAAATGGAAATTTCAACGACTGCTATACTAAGGAAAAATTCGCAGCGTAATTCTAATTTTGAATTGTATTGAATGAGATGAATCATTAATAATATTTTACAGACACAAACACAATTTCAAGTGCAGCTGAATCCAAATAAATTTTTTTCTTTTAATTTAGCTGTCTTAAATTTTGCCGCCCCTTAATTCTGCCGCCCTAGGCTTCAGCCTATGTTGCCTGTACGATAAATCCGCCACTGCGAATACGGTATTTTTATATTTCATTGTATTAGTTAATTGAGTTAGACCTTTCAAACCGGTGTTAACTCTCCTTCGCCTGACATTGCGATACGCATTTTAATTAACTCATGAATTAAGTGGAATTTGATTTTTTAAACATGTGGTAACCCCGCTAGGTACAGTTCCAAAATACAAGTTTTCAAACCCCCTTCAACCTCCCTATATTAATAATTCATTAAAATTATTAAATAATTTGAATTTAACTTTTTAAACAGGTGGCAACCCTCTTTCAACATCTCAGAAATATTCTTAGCATTCAAACTAAAGATTTCTTAACACTCCATCTTTTTTTCTTGCCTAATATGATTTTTTTAACAGGTGGCAACCCTGCTATAGCTAAGAAACAAAGCTTTTCAAAACTATTTCGGTTAATACCCATTGTGTAATAATTGATTTATTTATTTTTTTTTTAATAATTTGAACACAATTTTTTAGAAGGTGGCAACTCTTCGAAAAAATAAAACCTTATTGCACATACAGTCTAATCCTTTAAATTTGACACCTGATATGATGGCATTGATTTGTAAATAATTTGAATTTAATTGTTCAACAGGTGGCACTTCTTTTCCAAAAAATAAACCCATTTTTGAAAATTGAGCGAACGGTGCAGATCTTTTATCCTGCACAAAAATGCCTTTGCGTATTATATATATAGATATTTATACATACGCACGCATGTATGTACATAAGTATGTTTAAATGTTCGACGTTGCCCATTTCACATCAAAGCGTTGCTTGTGCTAAGTAATAGTTACTATGTTCATATATGAAAAGAAGTAGTTTTCTTACTGCACTGACACCTTTTCTCAAGCGTTGTTATTCTGCAATGCTTAAACAAAAGACTTAAGCAACCAACTTTTGTTAGCACTAAGCCGCATACGAAGAATTGCAAAACCCCATTTGGAATTTCCAATATTTTTGGAACTCGGTGAACTAAACACTAACGTTGATTGTCTTAAGCATACACATATGTATGAACATACTCTACATACATATGTATATGTATATGTATAAGTATATTGCACTACGGTGTAGGTGTGAACGCGCATAATACAAAAAGACCTTCAAATAAAAGGCTATGCACTAAAAAAATTGAATTTTATACTTAATTTTGCAATACAATAGATGTCAGCGGCTAATGGCCGTGAAAATTTCTTCAACGGATCGGGTGAAGGTAGGTCATGCCAGCGATAGAGATAATTAAAACAAGGCATGCAACCGAAAGTTAGGGATTAAAATTATAAATTGGAATAGTAGTGCATACGTGCATATTAATGTACAGACATACATACATACATACATACGTACATACAAAGTGTGTAAGACGTTAATTTTTGAAAAGTTCGCTTTTTACAATGCAGTTAACAAAAATGCGTTCCATATACATACATACATACATACATACTAGTTTAAAATGTATTCATGTATGTGCATACATATGTGTGTAAATTCACACACACACACATACACACGCTTATGCACCACTTTGTTCGTTCGCCTGCATTGTTTGGTCGGCTAATTGGAATTTGCCAACTTACAAAAGTCAATTTACAAAAGCATATCAACAAGCTCTTGGCATGTGTGAACTACTCTACAGCTAATGAATGAATAAGAAAAAAAAGAGTTTTTTTTTTTTTTTTTTTTAAAAGTGAGAGCAAAGTTATGTACAATAAACAATACTCGCACCTAAATACAATGCAACAGGCGACAATTTAAAATTGTGTAGCATTGCAGAGCCGATTGATTACTCTCACCTACTGTGAGGCGCGTGTGTTTGTAGTGTTGAAAAAAAGTGGCTGGTTAACCAACTGAAATGAATGCAGTTAAGGCAGCGAAAAGCAAAAAAAAAAACAGAAAAAAGTTGAGTGCAGAGGAGCTAAATGTGTGAATATATCAAGCAACCTGTCGTTTTGCATTGTATCCCCCCTCCAAAAAAAAAGGTGAAAAAGAAATACACGCAAATGTTTCAAAAAATAAAATATGGTGCCGCCGATAAGCTAAAATAGTGCAAGGGAACGTCAATTTTGAGTGCACGAGCAGATGCGTGTATACCTACGCTCTGTTGTGTTGTCAATGCGAAGCAAGAAGTGCTGGTACTGTCATCAATAAGCTGGCTACAGCTACAGTGGCATCGGATCGCTAAGTAAGTAAAGAAAAAATATCGAAAAATTGTTTTTGAAATTCCCAATGTTATCGATGGTTGTCGATGGCGTTCTAAGTCAGCGATATGATTTTCTCTGTACTTGTCGTTAATCTTCAGTCACTCTCGAACGTAATTCCGACATACCAATATTAATATTAGCTTTTTAAAAAAATTTTCGTTTGGTATCCATCTCATAATTCTTCACTTAATTAAAAATTTGCATCTTCGTTTGATACCAAAATTGTAATATTTATTATTTGAATTTTTCAAACCCTTTTCAAACATATTTTGAAAATTAACTTTCCAAAACCTAATTAGTTTGATAGCCAAATTGTAATATTTCATTTACCTTACCAATTAAATTAAATAAAATTTTTCAAATTGGTGGCAACCCTCTTTCAAAATATTGTCCAAATTAAGCTTTCTTAAACCATTTTATTTTGATACCCCCACAGCAACATTTTAATTACGTTATCAATTTAATTGAGTTAAATTTTTCAAATAGGTGCCAACCCTCTTCGAACATATTTTGGAAATTAAGCTTTCTTAAGATATCCATTTCTTAGACATCCATATTGTAATAATACTGGCACGTTATTTAACTTATCAATTTAATTTAATAAAATTTTTGAGAAATGTGGCAACACCCTTTAAAAAAAATATCTTCGAAATTAAGCTTTCTTAAACCTCATAAGTTTGATAACCCGACGAACTTAACATTTTTATACGCAAATATCTATCGATTCCGAATTCTTATATTATCAGAGGTGATTTGGGGGGAAAACTATGTTTAAAAGCTATTTTTTTTTTATAAAAAACTAAATTTTTGGAGGTATTTTCAAATCGGTCCAGCTTACGTGAAACATAATATTTTATTTTAAATATTTTGGTGGAAGTCTTAAAATATAATAAATTTTCTACTTTCGATGAAAAAACCGCGCCATTTTTTTTAAAGAGGGTGATACACCCTAATGTTTACTGATTGCCACATAGAAATGTCAGCTAGGTGGCGCTGGTGTCAAGTTATGCCTAAAAACCTTATTTATGGTAAATTTGTCTAAACTTTCAAACGATTCGATAGGCGCCCGCTGGAGCTTAGTGGTTAAAATTAATATTTTAGTGGGAAAATTAGCCGAAATTTACCACTGCACCTGACGAAAACACAACAAACAATAGGCGCGACGACATTATTAGCAGCGTTACTTTGCCAGTAACAACAAAAAAACGTTGGTAGTGCACAAGCGGACCCCTCAACGGCTCCACAAAACATTTGCGAGCTGCGCGCATGCGCCAGCGCAACTGCTGCCGCAATACATCAGCGGCAACTGACGTGGGCACATGCGCACAAATTACTATGCACAGCCGAAGAAGTAAACAACAAGTAGAAAAAAAAACCACACGCAGCAGCAGCGGGCAGCGGGCAGCAAGACAGCAACAGACAATCCAACGACAAAATCCAAAATCTTTTTGCAGTAAAATTCAGTTGGTGATGTGCAACAGGCGGCAACGGAAGGTGTTCGAGGTACGCGCGCTCAAATCAATGCCGAAGCGAGGATATTAATGGCTAAGATATGCAAGAAAAGTTGGTGTATTTAAATAAAAATTACATTTGTGGTTAAAGTGGGCGAGAGAGAGAGAGAGAAAAATTTAGCTTAATTTGAATTTTTTCAAATAAAAACTACATAAATTAAATAGTTTACAACAACACAACAGCTATGCGATATTGCGAAATCGAAATGAGTAATGAAATATGACATTGAATATTGAAAGTGGCTAAAAGTGTAGAAATTGGAAGAAAAAAAAAATAAATAAAAAATTATAATAGTATTGCTCATTAATTTTTTGTTTGCTACAAATCACAACCCAACGCAACGACGAAAGTGAAACTAATATTTGCTTGCTTAAGTGCTGCAATTTCGAGCGTGATTTCATACGTGCGAATAGTTCGAATAAGGCGAAAAGCAGAGGAAGAAGAAGAAAAACGTTTTCGATGTTGTAATAAGCTCAAGTGTTTATTTGCTTTTCCAATTGGAGTGTATGCAACCAACCGACCGCACAACAACAATTAATGCTAAAAAATATTAAGCTGCGAGAAATAATTGCAGCAACAGACAAATTGCGAAAAGCTGCTGCGAACAAGTTCATAAATTCAAAAATTGTTGACTGAAGAAAAAACAAAAAAAATTGTATGCTTAAAATAACAACAGTGAGTTAAAATTAGCAGCAAATCACTTTCATTTTCATTGCCAACAAAACGCTTCGCACGGCCCACCCCGCCCCGTACGCATCTTATGAAGGCCATTCAAGTGTCTTATGCTCAGTCGGTAGTAGAAGCCAAGTGTCAGCCATTCACGACCATCGAAATAAGCTGCCCCCCCTAAAATTGCATTACTAAGCGCTGCGGCTGGATTAGCTGGTTTCGACGTTTTTTTTTTTTAAATTTATTTATCTGTGTGCAATTTGGAAGTACCCAGCAATAATCGTTAGCCAGTTAGCGCACAGGATTCCCCCCAAAAACGAAAGCGTAAAAATTTTACAACACTTCCGGCACTGTAACTTTATTTATTATACTGGTTAGCTTGTTAGCTGCCCATTTATAGCCAATAGTGAATGAAGCGTGTATCGATAGAGAGCAATTAAAGTTAAGTTCAAAAATAGATTGTAAATACGCGTAATTTTCGAGCAGCAGGCGACTCAAAATTGGACACAACGGCGGCTGAACGCTTACATCATTGGACAAAATGCGTTTTACTGCGGCATATCTACTCTTTTGTGGTGGTAAGTAAGCTGCAGTTAAAGCAACACAAATTTGAAATAACACATTTTTTTTTGTAAACTCTCGAGGACACCTGCTGTTGACTCATACATACATACTTATGTACATTAGGGTGGTCCTTTTAGCCGACTCCAATCGGGAATAAAATCTATATGTGATATTTTCTACTTTAGTGGTATTGATTTTGGGTATTAAATGAAAAAAAAAATAAATATTAATTAATTTTTTGATTCTTAGAGGCATTGGACTTTAAGCCCTTTGCGACACGCCTTAACCGACTCAAAATTAGGATGAACATTTTGGATAATGGTAGTACCGATTTTGGGTTTTAGATGAAAAAAAAAAAATTAATTGAAATTTTTTGAGTCCGTATAGAGGAACTTTTCCCCTGTGATATCTGTAACAGTGGTATTACCGATTTTGATTTTTTTAATGACTACCTTAATATACATATATGTATACATAAATATATAGCACTTTAGTAAAAAATTGTGTAAGGCCTATGAAACATTGGGAAAATGTGTTAATTTGCTTATAAGCACACAAGCATACACTCACACACACACATCATAAGGGCACCTGCACCTCTATTCGACTCAAAGTAAACATTCACACATTCTGCTTGCCAAATGCAGAGTTTAGTTCAGCTACCAGTAAGTAACCTTCGCTTGCCAAATTGCAAATAAACATAGTAGGCACACTTTGGTATTTACGCATTTCAACAATTCCAATGCCAAACTTCTTAAAATGTCACTAACTGTGCGCTTCTTCTCTTCGGCCTGCCTTCGAACAAAAGACTTTAGTAGCGAACTTGTTAGTGGACTTGCTTTATGCGCTTGCTTGCCTTGTTCGCGCTTGCCCTTTATTCTGCATATGAATTTACTACTCTTTGATAGTGAAAGTGTTGGTTCATGTATTGACTTTTTCATTTATTACCGATCAAATTTTCAAGAAATGGTCTAAGTATTCTTGTCTTAAACTTTCGCTTTTAATTAGTTGCACTTATACTACGTCAAAGCTACTCTAAATGTACATTCGCAGCAGAAGTAAACTGCTTGACGAGGGTGACTGCTAGAAAAAAAAAATTTTTGATGGTCTCCACTCTGTGGTGGTACAAAATTTTCAACCTAAATGCGACTAAATGCTCTAACTCTAACAATATTAAAAAGTTACTTTCAGAGTAATGCAGGAAAAACTAAATTTATTTATTTGTTTTTAATGTAGATAAATAGATGCGCAAGAAAAGCTACTTACAGTTACGTCAAAATATAACAGATCTACCAGAAAAACTGCACTTATGCTTTGAAGGTTTGCTGCAGTCGCTCACAAATTCCGCGAGAGGGAGTTACGAATCTTTGGCATTGCTATTTGACCATTTTCGTGCGTCATTTGCTTGGCATTTGCGAGTACTCGCATCTTCTTAGGAGCTCTGCTGTGTATCCTCTGGATGGATCACAGTAAGGCTGAGGGTCGATCAGGCTCCGTTGCGCATCGCTTTTCAATAGAGTGTCAGCCCTCCTTTCTTTGCAACTTTCTACTAGCTTTGACACCGTTTTGCAGGAGTCAAGTGCTCTTAACGTTGCCTGGCTATGCAATATGATGTTTATTGTAGTTCCATTAGCTCTTCTGCGAAACATTCGTGCACACATACTTCCATTGCAAAAATTTCTGCCAGGAAAATGGTTGGCTATATGCCCATCGGGACACTTTTTCCCATACTCAAGTTTTGGATCCATTAGCTTACCAAATTTGAGATCTCACGCTGAACATGGCGATTATCAATTTTCTACTATCCCTTTCAGGTATTATTACCTTGTAGGACTTTACAAGGGTTAACTTCGTTAGCTTAGAGTGTGAGAGTTTGACTACGGGATCATTTGTGAATGGTTTTAGGCTATATGTAAATGAGTATTTATTTCTTTTTTCAAATTTATATAACAGTTAAATGTACTCATACATACCTACTCAGAGGATATACTTATAGTACATAAATTTAGAAAAACTGACTATATCAAGAAGAAGCTGTTCATTAAATGTTTGTAAGCCGACGTTAAAATATAGGCAAAGTCAGCACGAATTACAACAGCTACATCATAAAAAAATTACAATGGGCAATAAAAAGCAAATATATGTAGTTGTGCATACAAACACCCCGTAGGAATTTGCAGCACGTAATAATGCCTTACCAGCAACTTAATCTTCATCCGGCGGTCCTTACGAATTGCTTGCCGAATTTCCTGACCTTATGGAAGTAGAAATTTGGAATGTACATTTGTTATTAGACATATTTCTAAGCCCACGCACTAAGTAGGATACCTTGAATGTGGAGCAGTCGCTCGGAGTAGTTCGGAATTCGGAAGTATCTTCGGCGGCAAATTATTTTATACCTTACAACATAAAGCTTAGTATCCAGCTCTTAAGAAAAGCAAAAACTTCATTTAAAAAAACGCTGAAGAATGGCGAAGAAATTTTCTTGTGCGAAATTTCCTTAAGGCAGTACGGAGCTTTTAAGAAATTTTTTACGCTTTTTGCTGCGATTTTCTAAAGTTTTTTTGTTTTTTTTTTTTACCTCGGACAGTGCTTGCCTATTTTTCCCAGTGGCCTTACATATTTACATATACTCATATATATATGTAAATGTATTGTAAATGTATGAATTATTTGTAACAGGGCATATGCAAATAAAAGCGAAAACAGGCGAAAATGAGGAAACACTGGCCACAGTGCAGGTAGATAGGTAGATAGGTAGGTGGAAGAAATCACCGAAACTGGTTCCGTGACTGAGGAAAAGAAAGTGAAAACTATGCGCACAAAGCCCAAGCGCGCGGAATGGAAGTAGCACTCTTGTTGCTTATTTATTGCTGTTGTTATGGTTTTTTTATTGCCTGTCTTTTTCAGTTTTTTTTTTGTTTTTTTTGAGGTTCGCATTTGTAGACGCCGCATGTCGTTATAATTGGTTTTATTAATGCCACAGTTGCTTGCATTGTTGGCAGCTGTTATGCATTGTGTTTGTTGTGACTGATTGTGAGTTTTTAATTAACAAAAAATGAAATAAAAAAATGTAGCGTTGAAGTATCATGTGGGTATGTATATATGTGAACAGTGTAAGACATTGTAATTTTAAAAATTTTGAATCTTTTTTTGCAAACTGTTTATTAACTTAATGTTATTAGTAATAATAATACTAATATTTCGGCGCTTACAATTTTGCTAAGTGTTTGGCCGAGCTTCTCCTCCAATTTGTAGTGAGTGTCTTGATGTTGTTACACAAATGGCGGGGCCTAAAGTTTTACGCCGTCTCCGAACGGTAAACGTATTTTATGAGGAGTACGGATTTTATATGAAGAAATACATTCGGAGATTTGCCATTTCCTGCCTAGAGGCGACTGCTGTTAGCAAAAACTTATTTCAAAGATATTTTAAGGGAGTTGCCACATGTTTAAGAACTTAAATAAAGTGTAAAAAAATGTGGATGCCTAACGAAAGAGGTTTAAAACTAAGTTTTTCACAAAATATTCAGGAGAGTTGCCACCTGTTTAAAAAGATAAAATCAATTTAATTAGTAAGTTAAACGAAATAATTCATTTTGAAATGGGTATTAAAAGAGAGAAGTTTAAGAAGGCTTTACTAAAAAAAAATATATATATTTTTTAAAGGTGCTGCCGCCCGTTTATATATTCAAAATCAATTTAATTAAAAGTTTAAATAAAAAATAAATTAATGAGTGTATGAAATGGGAGAGTTTTAACAATGCTATATATATTTATTTCAAAACTATTTTTGACGGGGGCTGCCACCAGTAAAGGAATTTAATTAACAAGTTAAACGCTATCATTCCTAGATCACAAAAAAAATGTAAGAGTAGGTGAGTGAGTGTGTGAACATATCTGTTGGTCTTTATTATATACCATATGTTTTGACAAAGCATGCCACCTGCTTAAAAAGTTAAATTCTGCTTTAAATTATGAGTTCATCGAAAATCTTCAATAGTGATGCCAAATGAACGAGATTTGAAAATAATTGATTACGAAAACATTTCAAGAGGATTGCCACCTTTTTCAAAACTCAAATTCAATTTTATTATTGAGTTAAATGAAGTATCTATGGCAATGTGTACGGTAAAAGAATGAGGTATAACAAGTAGCTTATTTTTAAAATATTTTGAAGTGGGTTGCCAACTGTTTGAAAGTCAAATCCAATGTCTCCATAAGATAAATGAAGCATTACAATATATGTGGATGCCAATCGAAAGAGTCAAAAGCAAGACTTGCTTCGAAAATTATCTAAAGAGGGTTGCCACCTTTTAAAAAGTCAAATTACATTTAAACAGAAGTACGTAAATTGAAACATTACCAAATGATGTTAGTCAAGCAAAATTTGTTTAAGAAGACTGTATTACAAAAATATTTTTAAAAAGGATTGCCACATGTTTATAAATTTACTTAAATTTAATTACTTACTTTAATGAAATATTACAATATGGATATCGAACGAGACTGGTGAAAAAGCTTAACTATGAAAATAGTTTTGAAGAGGGAGTAGTAGCACCATTCCCTTTATTCTTAAAACCACAAGGCATATTTTTAATGAGACTAAATAAGATTATTGACTTGCTGGTATCGGAACTATTGCCTTCACGTTTATTTGCCAAGAGTTCTTCAACTGCTCGGCGCTATTGAGTCTAAAGTGTAATACTAAAGCCAGCCTTCCGACTTAAGGTAGAATAGTAGACTTGAAATGCCAGAGTACTTATTTTAAAGAATATTTTGGTCTATAAATTAAATGTAGTCCATAAAAAATATAAATGTTAATAATTTTAATATGAGTGTATCCGAATATCGAGTTACGGAGTACCAAACACGGTGAGAAGACCCGTATTAAAAATTTGTATGCTCAGAATTGCAAATTCAGTACAAATTATGAAAAATCAGGCCATTAGCGTACTGATTGAAGAACTGAATTAAATCAGTACGACAGTTGAAAAATCAGTACTGCACTGATA